TGAGCTCACAGTGGCAAGTGTGATCATCAAGACACTGTTGTATTCGCTGTCTTTGTATTAAGGAGGCCGACTTGAGGTTGTTGTACTGTCGAATGCAGTCAGGCTTTGCCAGGGGAGGTGAAGTTTCATTTCTAGAGTTTTGCTCTTCCTGGGAAAAGTCCTTCCTGCCCTTCTTGTAATGGGCAACCATTATACAGAGGAAGATACATAGATGGGGTTTGCTAGAAATTATTTTATGCAAGTCAAAGGAAAATGCAAAATGGAATGGTAAGGCGATGGAGTTCTTACCACTGTGGAGCAAATGCTGTTAGGTTTAACATGTATTGTATTAATCTGAAAGTTTACTTAATTTTACTACGTACGGTTAAAGTGATTTTTCTTGGTGTTAAAAGTACTACCCCCAGTATTTGTATAACAGATTAGTTTGCCAAAAAAGAGAGGAAAAACTACTAATAGCAAAAAGGATTACTTTTTATAAATATTACTGTTAAAGAATGTCATTTAATTCACTGCTCTAATAAATTATTTTAAAATGTATTTTATTACCATCATTTATTAAACAATAAGGAGACATTTTGGCTGCAAATAGTGATAACATCTCTATAGAACTGTATTTGGATAGTCATTTCTTTTGCTGACACAGTAGATAATTAGGAATTATAAATTATGCTTACACTCTTAAGCATGCTAGCTGGAGAGTATATCAGACTGTATGTTGTTCTTGGTGCCAGTTCAGGTCCTGATTTTCAAAAATCCTCACACAGAAATGCATGGTGATGATCAATTTGTAGCAGTGAAGTGGAAGTGCACTACTTACCTGAGAGATTTAGATGAAGACTTTTCCACCTCTTTACATTTTTGAATGAAGTTTTCGTCATGTTTGTTAGTGAGAAAGTCATTATTGTCAGCTGCTTTGTTGGCATCTTAGCCTTGTCTCTGGTGGTCAGATAATTATATTTAAAATATTTCTCCCACAAATGGTAATACACCTTCATTTTTAGCAGAATCACTGGGTAGCTAAAGTAAATTGATTCTGTTCATCAGATTGGGTTCTTCTATAGGAAATCTCGTGTGTTTTGACAGGGTAGTGCAGGGTAGTACCCCCCCATGACCGGGGTAGACCTGCATGTGATATGTACAGAGGTGTAATAATTTGGAGCTCCAGGGCTATCCGTACCAGCAGCTTTGTAAATGCTTGGGTATGCATTACTGGCATGGACTACGTCTTCTTTTAAGCTACATCTTCCAGGGACTCAGTGGAGGAACTGTAACTGTATTTATATGTTAGGCCATGCAGAAGTAAAGGAGGCTGCTGTGGAGATTTCTTTAGAGGCCCTATCATAACCTGCATCTTTATTTTGGGCTCTGTATAGTGATAATGTAAACTGTGGGCCTCTCTCTCTTCCCTTTGTATTGAAGTAGTTGCATAATTACTAAGGATGTAAGCAAGCAAAGTGTGTCCTTTGGTAGAAAACACAGTTCAGTCCAGCTGTGCTGAACTCTTGTTAACCCAGATGTCTGGTTAAATGCCACTGGATTATATATTTGAGGTTATTACTATTCCAGCTATCCATGATAATAGAGGTAGATAATAGATGGACCAGCTCCAGGAGCGTGTCTGTGCAGACAGGTGCAGACAGATGCGGGCTCGCTCTGCCCGCGCCCCCAGCGGGCTGTGAGGGAGCCAGCTCCAGTCAGCAAGCCGTCAGCGCGCCGCGTGGCACTATGCCCAAGTTCAAACACCTTGTCTCTGAGATAAACGAGGCTTTACAGCTTCTGAACTGAAGCTGACTCACATTCAGGCAGTTTCAGGAGTCCTGGCACTGTGTGCTTCGGTTCACCTGCCCATTTCTCTGGAGGTATTCATTCTGGAGGTGTTCATTTCCAGGTAGCCGTGGAAAGATTTCAGTAGAAATCCATAGCTTTGTATTCTTGTGCAGTCTTTTCTGAACATTCATAGGTTTAAGCCCTCCCAACCCTCCTTATACTTACTATAAGGATAAGAATTAAAAAATACATTGACAAAAATAATACAATTTTTGGAGAGTGATTTGAAGTTCTGTATGTGCTGTGGATTGGATACTAATCTCAGAGGATCTCAGTGGAGCATTTACAGAGTCACATGACAGCAGCTACTTCACATGACTGTGAGCTATTATTTCCTGGAGTTGTCTGACTGTGGAGGGGTACGTTAAGAGGTATTTTGCCAGATAGGAGCAGTGATGTCCTCAATGGAACTGTCCCGTAAACCAGCGCGTTGTCCACATTGTCTGTGAGCGTTTTGACAGGTTAGCAGAGAATAAATGCCATGCAAGAGTGTACAGAAAATTGAGAAATAAGATTTTGTTATCTTTCCCTTGCAAAGTCATACTCATAACCTCTAGTTGGCTTTCATAACCCCTCGACATCACCAGTTCAGAAACAGTGCACCAGCGTCTGCAGAAAGCTGCTGCAGACTCGAGCGCTGGCTTCTCGAAGCTTGTCGGCTGGCTCTCCTCTCCTAGGAAGGTTTTACCTCACCTGCTGCTTGAATGTGGGGCTAGATAGCGTTGCACAGTTGTACAGTTATGACCACAAGAATATGTGACCATTTTGACTGGTGAATGTGAGTAAATCCCGTTATCAGATGTTGAAATGGTACCAAATATGTCAGTAGTTCTAACTCTCCTTTCTCACTTGTCAGGCCAATCTTCAGGCAGTGAAATAATGTGAACTTTGGAGAAGTAAAAATTTAGGGTGCCTTAATTTAATTTTCAAGTGGATTTTGAAATTTTATTATGTTTGTAGCTTCTTTACAGCTGGAGTAAAATCTATGTTACTGATAATAAAATAGCATCATTAGAAACCCAGTAGGTGGCAAGAACTTACCATGAAACTTGCTATTAGATGAGGAGACATATCTACCTCACTTTAAAATTAATCTAATTAGATTTAAAAGCCTTGGCAGTTCTGTGATATAGCTTTCTTCACCTATTTTCACCCTAAACAGGTTGGGTTTGTGACCATTAGGTCAATATTAAACTTTAGATCTGAAATAAGTATATTTCTAGAATTATGGTATGGTATCAATTTATGTTTTGCTATTTACCTGAGATACCTACTTTACAGAAATAATTGCCATGAATTAAAAACTAGGATTTAATCTTACCAGTGTTAATGGCAAACAGGGCAAGACCTTGGTCCACGTATCCTGAAAACGAGAGGATTATTGTGAAGCTTATTTTTCTTTCTATTTGAACCAGGTGTTAAGCAGCAGGTATATTTAGATTTTATGTGGTGCATAAATTCTCTGCTTTCTGCAAAATGAGAGGAATAACTGAATACAATAGCAAATCAGCTTTTTTTCTGTCTCAGTGCATTTAAAAGTTCGGATTGTAAAGAAAATTTTAAGGAATTAGTGTCTTACTTGAACACAACACACAAAAAATCTGAAAGTCTGGTATAGGTTATTAAGTTTTCTGCATTATTTTGAGGTTTGTAGAAAATAATAAACTTATATCTCATACTTTATATCTGTAGCATTCAGATTAACCTTATAGATATGTAACGCTTTACTACCTTGCATTCTTTAATACCTGTTATTTAAAATAATTAATAACTTTTTATTTAAATTAAGACTATTGGAGACTTATGGCATCCTCTTTTAAACATCATTTAACCATGATTAGAATGAAGAAGACAGAATAATAAATGAGACTATTTAAGTGTATGAATAAAATGCAACTGTTTATCTAAAATTGATCCATGTCTCATAACTTTGAGAGTAAAATAAATGAGTTGTTTTTCTTTGACTCCATCAGAAATATTGTCCTTTAAATATTTACATTAATACATTAGGAACTTTGAAATAAAAGTGAAATAGCTTTCTTGACATTTTTGCTGGCAAGCAGAAGGACTGTGAGAATTCCAAACTTTAAGCTCACCTTGACTGTATGAAGTTCATGAGCCATATTCTTAGGTTTATTAGTAGTTGGAGCTTAAGGTTAATTTATGGCTCATTTATTCATGTTTATTTTTTAATGATTGATCTTATATAGTTCTGGAAAAAGTTATAGGCCATAGCATATTCTTTTCTAAAAGCTATTAAGTATAATACGCTTTTTCTTGGCTGATAAGTCTTAGTCAATCATTGAATGCATTGCAGAAAATATATATCTTTTATTTAAGAAAATAAGGGACAGCTTGTGGTTCTGCCAACATGACCATTTTAGAATGCAAGAAATAAGAAGTTTCTCCAAGATCCATGCTTGCAGACTACATATTTTAAAAAATCACTGTTGTCATATGTCCTCATGAACTACTTATGATGTGACCTTGCTAGCTTCTCTGTGTTTCTATATGTTTCTGAATGCCGTAAGTTTCTGTATACTTTGCTGAGATTGAGGGGTCGAGATTCCAAAGGAAAAGATTCCTCAAGAACTGTTAGATCAAGGAACTGATTTTCTAGATGTAATACTTCGCTTCTAGAATTATAGTTGCATAGTGACACAATGCAAAATAATAAATCCATAGGATTACGTCTGGGTAAATGAGAGGAAGATGTCTAGAGAGTTGTAATTTCTGTGCTGAGGCCTCCAGGGTACCAAATGAACAGTATAATATATAAATGTGTTGTATCATTTGCTTTTTATGATTCAATCTTTATGAATTGAATCATTCTCAGCAGATTTATTTAGCATATTCTAGAATTCAGGAAACTGAAAAAAACGTCAAAGTTTGTTAAGAGCAACTGACAAGAATATTGTTAGATATTATATGGTTGTAAAATATACTGAGATAAATATTTATGATATATGAAGATCATGAAAAATCTATAGAAATAACCCTCTGGCTAATCAACTTATTTCATGATTTGATTTTGCCTGGCAATATTTGCTATTTAAAGACTGTTCAGAATTTAATTGATTGTTCTCCTGGTGATTAAAATAAACATTTATTGAGGTACTTCTGTTTGGTTTTAATGAGAAGATAACAATTTTTATTTTATTCTGTTTTATCAGACAGGAAGCATTGCTTGCTGCAATTAGTGAAAAAGATGCAAACATTGCCTTGCTTGAACTCTCTGCTTCAAAGAAAAAGAAAACTCAGGAGGAAGTCATGGCTCTTAAACGAGAGAAGGACAGATTAGTACATCAGTTAAAACAGCAGGTGGGGAGACATTCATTTTCATACTTTTATGGCAACTGAAGATTGACATTATTTTCATTTGTACTATTTTATTCTAACCTCATATTGAAAGTCTTCAAGCCAGGCCTGACATGACAGCAGTTGCAAAAGGTAGGAGGTGTTTAATATAAATATTTCTGTATTGCTTCTTTATGGTTGTTAAGCTTTTAGCTGCATGTTTGCTTGGCTCATACGCAGCCAATATACCTTCTGTTTTCCCTCATCATATAGCTTCCACCTTCTTCATTCTGTGCAACAGAGGAGAGCAGAGTGCTGTGCAGTAAAGCAAAATTATCCTTTCTGCTGACTGTTTCTAACCTTTTCTGTTCAGTTATTTGTTCATCACTTGTAAAATAATTGTCTGTTCAGAAGGTTCCAGGCTTTCTGAGAGGTTATCTGGAAATCATGATTATCCTTAAAATACATTCCCAAATGAGTAAAAATCACCCTGTCTTCCCAGCCGTAAGTCATTTTAATAGGAAACCTGTAGTTACAAACTGTAGAAATGAATTTTATTGCAAGCAAATTTGTGTTCTGCTTTATTAATGAGGAAAATCACCATAATAGACACAGTACTCGTAATAGACAGTAGCCAAGGATCCCTTCTCTGTCTGGCTGAAATGCTTGAAATAGTATGAAGACATACCATGCAGTGACCACTCCCCCTGATTTTTAGAAGGTAATAGTCACAGCCAAAAGAGCTACTGTAGGATCAGCAGGATAAGCAAGAGGACAAAGGATGTTCAGATAACCTAGGTACTAAAGACCTGTGCTGTGTGTCATATGCATATGTTGTTAAACACCTTTCCTCTTTCAGAACAGGTGAAAAAGATGAGAAAGATGTTTTCAGACCATGTCTGAGAGTGTTATATCTGATGTTTTCCTTTGTGAGACTGAGTTCTGGAATTGTTACTTGAGGAGGAGGAGAATATCATCAGGCAAAATCCTTCTGGTCTCCTTCGCCTCACAGAGTAACCTCTCTGCTTTTAGGCAGTGTGCTGCTTCACAAACGAGCATGTCATGTTCATAATGTTTAGGGCATACTCCATAGTCAATGTTATGATTCTTCATTTTGAATCATGCATTACATAATGTAGATCTTCACACACTTGGTAACAGAAAGTTAAGAAAAACCCTTGCTGCTAAGCTAAGGACCTCCTGCACCTAATCATTATAGCTTTCTCCCACAGGTCTATAAAAGTAGGAAACAGCCCCTGAGCATGAACTTATCATCCACTCATGACGCTGACTTCATTACAGATATCCCAGCCAAGTACCTGGGTGCCAGCCAGGATGCACACATGTCTCAGGTCAGTCAGCTGTCCAGGAGACATTTCACCCAAATTTCATATGCTAAATAGGCAGATAGCTTTTATGCTTTTTAGTACTTGATCCCACTGTGCTTCATCTGAGCAGAATATGTTAGGTTCCAAATAACTGTAGGGATTTTTGTTTTGTTTAGCTTTGGAAAAGCAATGGCTTTTATTTTCTCTTATGTTTCAGATCCTTTCTTTTTTTCACCCTTATCTTTCCTTACTGAAGAGTAAATGAATATGCAGCTTTGCCATGCTCCATGCTATCTGTCATGGATGTTTTTAAAATGCTTTCCAAATATATGGGAAGAATGTTTTGCCTTAAAAAAAACAACCGAACAAAAAAACCCCTTTTTTTTACTTCTCTTTTTTTTATGTTTAAGCCTTTGCTGAAAAGTGCTCAAACATTCATAACTTCCTTCAGCAAGAGTGGAGGAACAGCGGAAAAGGATTTCTAGAGAGCCATTGTTGTGGATAACTTTGGTTAAAATTGTAACCAAATACTTCAGATATCTCCATTATTTATAGTGATAAAGATCTTCAGTAAAGCTATTTAACTAGATTAAATTGATGCCAAAATAATCTCTGTTTTATCTCAGACACCACAAGAAAAAAGGAGACATCAGGAACAGGAATATTATTTAATAAGTCACAACTTTATTACACTTAAGCATTATCTGATAATGAAGGTTGTAGGGATCATTCATACTTCTTTAATCCCTTTTGGGAGAACCACTGTCAACCTTCAAATCTTCCATATGGGTATCTAACACCATTGCTTGTTATTGCTACTCTTCCTTGATAAAATTGTTTGCACTGTGGGGAAAAGTGATGAATTCCACACTCTATGATATATCCACCCTGTTCTTCAGTTTTATGAAATGGGTACTATTCTAACTGTATCTCTTTCAGGAGAGAATAGTGAACCTATTGTGATTTACTTTTATCGGAGAACCAGGACGTTAGTGAATGATGAACTGCAGCATCAGATTTTTTCTAATGGCTTTATTCCTCCCATTCCACATTTTCCACAACTGTTACACTGCAGAAAGAAAGATAAAACGAACAAACAAACCCAGCTTCTCCACCTTAATGTAGTAATAAAAGGAGAAATATTTCTAAATATTAGAAGATGACTAGATGATGCTAAACGTTAGGCCCCCCAAATCCACTCCTGTTCTGAACCTGTAGGGGGAATTTTTGCTTTCAAGATCAAAGTAAAATGGTGAGCAGTGATAAAAATGTGTATTCCCTTTATGTATATACACAAGAGCAGATAGATTTACGATACATCTCCCTGTCAAATCAAACAGGAAGCTTTCTATTCATGGCTATAGGAGGTTGGGATCTCATCAAGGCAGCAGGACAAAGGTTGAGAAATGCAGACCTTAAAGAATCCAAGCACTTTCTTTTCATGTTGGTCCTTTTCCTGTTTTATGTTGCTCCCTGCAAAGGTTCCCTGTCTTTCAGTTGGTGATGGGACAGCTAGGCCAAAGATTAAACATAGTGGCTGAAAATTATGTTAGCCTAGCATCAGTAAGACCAAGCTTTTCCTGTTCCACAAAGAGATGTCAGTAAACAGCAGTAAATGTGTTGCAGATAAATAAGAGGATGCAATGCCTTCTTTACCCTTCAGAATCTTTTCTTCAATTCGTACATGTATTCTGTAAACATATTTGTATATGTTTATATCCTGTGGGAAATCTCATTCTTGATTTGCACATCAAATAATGCATCTCCTGAATTTAAAAAAATGCAGCTGTATCTGTACTGTATTACTGTGTTTTAGGAGACTTCTTCATTAAATATAAAAGTATCTTCTACTGCATTTCAGGAGAAAGTTATTTTTCTCCATGTATTTCTCTGTTTTCCTTTGACAATTCGTGACAATTGCTTCTAAAGTTCCCCAAATTTTGAGAAGTGTTCTCTTCAGAACCTGACTTGCGCTTTACTATTTTATTAGAGCTGCAAACATAGAACAGTAGTTGTTGTGGTGGGGAGCAGCAGTTGATACAGATTATGTCTTATAAATCATGCAAACAAGCTATTGGGGAATCATTTGTAGTTATGCTAGCACGTTAACTGAATTTAGAAATTTGCCTTTATCATATTTTTACCTTGCCTGGAAATCTACATGTGCTGTTTTAAATATTAGCAAAGCTCATATAGAAGTAATGTCCTCGAGTTATCCTTTAGGTAATCTTGTTACATTTTCCTCATTATATTATGGAATTCATTTTATGATGCTGCAATTAAGCTTGTATTAGCATCTCTTCTCCTTTCCTACTGCATGTCTGCCAAGAACATCTTGTTTTTCAAAGAGTTGTCATTTTAGCCAAACAGAATAGTCTGAAATTAGCCTTCAGTGAGGATGAGATTTACCTTTCAGAAACAGAAAGTATAATTTTTATCAAGTTTTATTTTGTGATCTTTATAGACAGGTGAATCAGTTTGGCCTAAATAAAAGCTGTTCTGAATCTTTGACCCTCGTGCTGTGTCATCATACATCTCAGACAGTTTTTGATTCACTTTTTCCTTTTATTTGCAATTTGGAGAGTTTCTGTCTCAAAAACTCTTTGAGACTTTGCTTCTACAGCTGTCCATCTCAGTGACATCCTAGACTTTGTAATATTTTTGATAAACTCCAGGTCTCTCTTTCTAGACATTTCAAATCATGCCGTACTATGAGTCGTTGCAATGGATGATACCTAAAAATGTGCAACATTGTACTCCATTTGCTACTATTGTTGAGTGGATGACCTCAGCCTCTGTTTAGAAACTTCGACATAAGAAAGAGCAGTATGTATGAGAATCCACCATTCATCAGAATCCAAGGTTTCTGATGGCATACACAAGGCGCCATGGAGCGTCCTCTGAGGACTAAGAAGGGAGTCACTGTCTTCCTGTGGAAAATCCCATTGAGGAAAGTAGATTTCCTAAAGTCAGAATGTTTTTCAGACAAAAAATGTGAATCCTCTTCCTTAACGGTTCTATGTGCAGAAGACAGGGCCAAGTACTGCTCTTTGACCTTGCTAACTCTGAGGAGGCTAGTGAGGGTCACGTTTAAGGGAAGGGGTTGCGGAGGTTTAATGGATATCCTTTGCAACATTTATAGGTGCTTATCTAGTAGGAACATCAAAATGTTTGCAAATTTATCTACTGCTACTGAAAGCACTGTACAAGAGCTCTGCTGGCTCTCACCATGTGAGGTTATTGTAAGCATCAAAGGCCTGCTTCATATTTAAAGAGATGGGGCACAGTATGTAGTAGATGTCTTTAAGGTTCGGGAGGTCGATTCTATTAAACTCAGTGGAGTAACCCAAAGTATTGAGATTACTCATTGAGTTTTATTGTTATTGGATTAAGGCCAAAGAAACAGATTCTATCACAGTGCTGTAATGTATCGTAGACTTGCACTGAGACTGAATTGCCTACATGGAAATGTAGCTGCGTTTAGCACAGACTTGCGCTGTGATCGACTGCTGTAGTCATTCTGATAAACTCTTAAAGCATCCTGGTGTATTTCCTATTTCATCTGGAAGCATCTTGGCTCTCCATATACTGCCACAGAGTGGCTTCAAAAGAACACTGAAAACGTGCCACAGGAAAAGAACATGAAAATTTCCATGTGAAGGAAAAAAGTACCAAGTATTTTCCAATATCTCGGAA